TCAACACAAAGCTAATGACTCTCACAACACACAAGATGCTTGTAGAGGAGTGAAGCGATTTGATCAAAGCCACCCAGATGGAAAGTGGCTACGTTTGGGCTAAACCCCCTTCTAATCCTGCTCCCTCTCTCATTTCTACTAAAAACAAACACTGGATGGCTGACAACGCCTTCTTAAGGCTGACATATGTTTGCAGTGAGTTTACCCGTTCAGGGATTTAGCAAGAGGAGCCTCCCGTCTTCATGGGGAAATTGCTGTAACAACTGTCACCAATGGTCTTCCATTGGCATTAAAGTCTACCCTTGATTTTGGGACTATCTGGTTTTGCAGTGTTCTATTGATAAACTAATCCAACATCATTAAGTCAAATTGGCATGATTTTGTCTCGATTAGAAGAGTTTGTGGGCAGAGTCTCAGAAAGCAGAGGTAACGCTACAAATTTCTGCGAGTCCCATTTGTTGGCAAAGCAGAGATCACGGTCACGACGAGATCTGCTCGGGGTCGTGGCAATGCCGTGATGGTTGAGATCTTGGTCCAAAGACAGAACACGCAAGGAAGAAACCTCTGGTGCACTGAGGGTGGGAGAAGCAAGCGGTGTAGTGATACTCCATGCTGGGTAAGAACTGGAGGACAAAGACCTATGCCCTCAGGATGAAATTTAAGGGGACAAGTTTTTGCACTCTGCCACTTCTTCTTAAACTTCTACTTAGAAACATATCTCAAAGAGCACTATGCCCCAGAGACCTCTGTGATAGCTTTATAGAGCACCTTACCGCACGTGTGGTATCATTAGTGACATTTGTCATCCGTTCACCCTGCTACTCTAAGAGGGGAAGGAAATCATAGTAAGTGCTTTTCCATAGGGAAAATACCATTGATGAGAATGAGGTGAAGAGTAGTAAAATTCAAAATAAGGTGATATTCTTCTATCTGGCAATGAATGTTTTCTTTAAATGCTGAGATCTACAAGAGATACACTAGGGATATTTCTCCCAGGAGAAGAGCTAGGGAGCAGTGATTACAGTATTTGTTAATTTAAGATGCCAAACCCCAACCATACGACCTAACCTTGCTGGGGTCGCTTTCTGCCAAGAAGCTGCATCTACTCGGAGGTGTTTTGTCAGCATAAACACATGCCATCTCTTCTCTTCTCACCCAGCCTGGCCACTGTGGTATGATTTCATATCCTAAATGTCTGATTTTTTTATGAGTAGCATCTATCTGCCTGACTGGCAAATAATGTGCTTGCAGAACCCGCTACTCAGCTGTAATGCAGTTCTGAGTCTAAAGCTAACAGCATGAGGAGCTGCCTTATGAACGTAGGACCTTCTAGCTTCATCGCCTGCCTTCAGTGCTGCGATCAGTCTGATCTCGATATTTGTCTGGATAAGGCACTTAGCCCTTTGAAGCCTCTGTTTTGGGGGTAGGCAGAAACTAAGTGGAGGCAATGAGATGAACAGGTATGTATTTGGGAGCAATTTCACAATATAAATAAAAAAAAAAATGAAGACCTCAATGATTTTGAGTAATGGCAACAGCAATTATCAGCTGGTTATATCTCTGATGAATTAGCATGACAATAAAACCCTCTGACCACACGTGTTTCTGAGAAATGGCCTCATGACCTAAGCTTCCTTTGGGAAGGCTTTACTGTAGTCTATCGAAAAAAGATCTGATTCGTTCTGAGCACTGATGACTCCTGCATGGCTTCAAAATACTCTGTACAAACCCAGGCTGCAGGGAAAACTCCCCAGCACTGACACAGCAAAGACGAATTGATGCAAAGAATTGAAGGTTGCCACCGAACTCGTACACAAAACACGCTACCCAAAGCTTAGACATCGACATGAAGAATGTACACAGCAATAATAATAATAAACAATGAATCTGTTCTCTTGAATTACTGCCATATCAGAGTTCTACATGCTGCATTATAGGAGGTGAATTTCAGCAATATTTCAAATAGTGAACTTGCATTCATAGCAGTCGCTTGTCTCTGCTTTAAGCTGATATTTTATTTGGGCTTTCCTAACATTTTGCCTCAGAGCAATCCTAAAGTTCTTCAAGAGAACATACTCCAGCTGAAATTTTGCTCTGTGCAGCAACCCATTGCAAATAAACAATTCTTCCTTATGGAGAGGTCAGACTGTTGTATTCAAGACCTTTTAGCCCTAAATCCTTCTGTATTTTAAATCAGTAACAGGATCACCCCCTTTCCCCCCCCGTTTCCATACCCTAACACAGAATGCCTTAATATTATGATAATATTAATATGATGCCTTAATATTACTTTCCTACTTCAGTCACTACCTTATTGGACTGTTTAGTCCCTACTCCTTTTAAAACATCGCCCAGACAACGTCATGCCTCCAAGAATCCAACCATAAAGACCTGGACGGTACGGACGGAGCCGGCAGAGCAGGAGGCTCCCAGAAGAAAGGAGCCCTGCCAGGTATTGACTTACAGCCACTCCCATCCTATTGAACTGTCAATCCGCCACAGCACTAAAAAAGGTTCTTTCTGAAAACAGCTTTCTAATCCACCTTTAAATCTTTCTACTTATTTACTAATCATCTCCTGACTAATGTTTACTGGTTATCTCATGACATATAAACTTTCCAAAAATCCTGAATTCAACAACAAAAGGATCTGCTGGACCCACCACTGACCCCCCCCAAAAAATCAATCCTTACCCCTGCCCCCAGTTATTCTGCTATCACATACCAGAACAAATCCTCTACCATCACCCCATTCTGCGTTTAGACTGAAGAAACAGCTCCCAGCACTAAAGCAGTGAAATAGCTTTATAGCTTTACAACTTTATGATTTATATCATGGCAGATTTTTTTTTTAATCATTTAAATGTTTTGTTTGTTTGTTTGTTCGGTGCTGGGAAAGCAAGAGGCACTATCATTCTCTCATAGCAAAGGAAAAAAATGGCAACTGAAAAAGTTCAGCTGCTTCCATTTAACAGCTGCCTGAACAGGTGGAATATAAAGATCAGATTAGCTCCATGCTTTAGTAGAAAATTCACCTATGATTTAATTCCAGGCTGGAGCAACAAATCCATTTCTCTTTCATTCAATTTATCCCTTTATTTCCCTTTTTGGAGTTACCTGGTGACGTTTTCTATTAGCTTCTGTCGCACAGGCACCAGACGTCTACGCTGTTCCCCAAGTCCCACCGCTCTCTCCTATCACCATTCATCCACAGGGAACGCCGGTCCCACTTCCCAGCCGATGGCAGCAAGCAAAACTCATCATATGAGTTCCAGTACTGCTTAAATGAACTGGAAAACACCACCGGCTGCTCTGCCCGACAAAAAAGCTTTGCAGCCCGGAAAAGGCGGTGGGGGAGGGCTTGCTGGCTTTTTTAAATGACCTAATACCGCCAATTAGGATGTGGCTTTGCGCAGTTCAGAAGGACACTGGCAGCTGTTTCAAGTAGACGAGCAAAGAAAATGCAAGAGAGCCCCACTGTACCCTCTGACTCCATGTCAGCAACAATAAAGGGGAGAAGTGAAGGAATAGCACTAAGCAAATAAACCCTTGTGCCCACATGAAAGCATATAACTTGAAGATACAGTAATCCAAATTAGCTCCCTCCCATTCATTCCTTCTCCGGGGAGGATTCACGTGCTAGAAATTCTTCTGCGCAAATTCATAGGAGATGATGTCCTGAACTTACCTCTAGTGCCAGCCAAGCAACATGCATGTGCACTGAAAGTTTTACTATGTATCTTCAGATTTCTTCTTTCTCAGAAGAAAAGCCCCAAACACCTACACTTCCTCTGCAAGGCAGACCTCCTGCTCCTATTTCCTTTCCTTTGCTGATAAGACACTAGAGGCACAGCTACAAAGAAAAAACTAAAAAGTAGGAAACCAACCAATTTTTCCTACCTGTAACAGGCTCAGCTCGTTTCACTGCTGGGCTGATGTTCCTCCTCTTTGTCAAGGAACTTAAATCCATTTCTCCATTAAGGCTGGCTCCCACATCCACTGCAGCCTGGGACTCAAGCCCCTCTTTTTCTGCAGCTGCTAATTCAGGGGAACAAGGTGTCTCTGCTGCAAAAACCACCGCATCAAAACTTTTTACCATTTTAGGAACTTTATCCAGAGAGGAGCCATCATCTGCCGAAACCAAACTCTTTACTCCCGCATTTTCCAGTGACTCAACAGCATGTAAACGGCACGAACATGGTGAGAAGGATGATTCGGGTATAGCTCGGCTTTGCCTTCCATTGGGCTCAGCCACGACCTCCCCCTGAGCTGCTTTTGCATTGGGACCAGCATCGCTCTCACCGGCCAGACAAACGGTGTCCGTGCTGGAGTCGCTGTCACACGTGGGCTCTTCTGCGATGGGCTGAAGCGCTGCCCGGGGAAGCACGCTTTCCGTGTCCTCCTGCTCTTCCGGATACGCCGTGACGGGGGTTATTGTCACCGGCCTTAACACTTCCTTATCCTCACAGGCATCACTCAGGGCTCCCGTTTCTGAAGCATCCTTTAATTCGGGCGTGCTGCTGCGTGGGGAGATTTCCTGCTGGATTTGACTGGAATCCTGTTCTTGGTTCAGCCCCGCACCTGGACAAGGGTCGCTGTCCGCACCCAGTGACTCGCCTGTTGATGCAGGTCTGTGCATGGTGCCGCCTTCTGCACCCTCTGCCCCGGTCTTGCACGCTTCTTCGGCAGTGACTGTCCCTTTCAGCCCAGCATCCACATCACTGCTGCCTGCCACAGGCCTCCCTTGACTGCAGGTTGAGGGTTTCACAACAGCAGCAAGAAGTTCCTCCGACAAAACCTGCTCTCTGCCACTTGCACAAGCCTCAGGCTCAGCTTTGCGTCCTTCAGCCTGCTGCGAGAGGCTCTGCTCTGGAGAGCCCTCGTCCCCCGCACGGACCCCAGGCCTGCCAGCTCCAGCAGCTACGCTGCCACGCTCCCCGCCACGCTGCTGGGAGAGCTCCGCCGAGCCTGCTGCTGCTGCCGCCACTGCTTCCTGGTTTTGTTTAGATTCTTCATTTTGAATTACAGAGGTTGTGCCTATTAAATTATCCTCTGCACAGCCTGCACCCTTGGCACACGGAGCTAATCCAGGGTCATTACCTTGCAGAGCTGCCTCCTGCCCGGGAGGTGCCACTGCAGCATCTCCCTCCTGACTCACAGCCAGTCCCTCTCCTCTGGGCAGGGGAGAGAGTGATTTCATCTCACCGCTCAGCCCCTCCTGCTCCAAAGCACTTTCTGCTATCTCTGCTTCTGTTTGTGCAGGCTGTTTTTCTGCCAGGCATGGGCTTGCATCCTCTGGAGGGAGCGATGCAGGCGCATGTTTGCTCTCTTGAGCAGCGTCCGGTTTGAAGCTGTCTCCCATTTCATCTTTAACAACAGTTTGATCAGCAGAAGGGCGACAGCCAGCAACTTCCTGACCTCCGTCTGCAGAATCTACGCTTCCTCCATCTCCGCTGCTGCTGGTATCAGTTCCTACTGGCTCGTCTTCACGGGCTTTGCTACCCTCCATTGCTTCAGCTGCACGTTCAGTGATCTTACCGCTCTCCTGGCAACACACAGGTTCTGCACTGCTTTGATTAGATCCACCAACATCATCGTTTTCAGGTTTGGCGTCATGGTCATCGGTTTCCACGCTGCCTTCCAGTGGGGGAGAGCTGGATTTCCCATCTGGGCAACCTGCTTCCACCTGCCCTCCTCGCTCCCCGCTCTTACCACTGCCATGCGTTTCCAAACCAGGACCAGGTTCTGATGCGCAAGTGGGAACCTTCACCCCGTTAACTGCTGGCAATGTTGCCCTGGCGCTCACAGTGACATCCTGCCTTGCTGCGACACAGGCATTGTCTTGGCTTTCCAAGAAGCCACTGTTTACCTGCTCAGTGCATGAGTCTGCTCCAGTCTCTTTGTTATTGCCAGTCTTGCAAAGGTCAACAGAGATATCGCCAGTGCCACCGTCTGCATTCGTACCGTCACATGCTGGTACCACTCCCGCATTTGCATCCTCCCCATCTGCATGCTCAGTGCCATTAAAACCACTGAGTAAGGGCTGAGCAGCACTGGCTGACTCTTCCTTAGCTGGCGATTGCTCTTCTAGGTTTGCAGTCCTCCTTTCACCGGCCTCAGCCATCCCATCCTCTACCTGCTGCTGGCCCGCAGCTCTCTCAGCCGCCCCTGTACAGTTCCTGCATTCAGTTTGGCCCATAGCCACATCCACGCCCTCCAATGAAGCTGGGGCTTCGCCTGTAGTTTCAACCACAGTAACAGTACTGTCAGCTGCACGCTCCTTGGCAGCTTGTGCTTCCTGACGGGGACTATCTTTACTGCACAAGCCGGCTTGATCCAAACCAACTCCAGCAGATGTCATTCCAGCTTCCTCATTTGTATTTCCACAGGATGGAAGATTTACGGCACCGTTTACACTTGCACACAGGCTCACTGTGCAGTCCTCCTCATCTGATATAGTTCCAGAGCCTTCAGCAGAGGTTGGCCCCTCCTCTTCCTTTTTACTCAACGTCACTGTATTTTTACTTTCACAGGAGCACTCTGGGCTCTTTGCATCCCCCAGGCTCAGCAAGTCATTTGGCGCATCATTAAAAGCTCCCAAACTCCTGCTGTTGCATTTCTCCTCCTGGTGGGATTGGTCTGAGAGCTGCCCGATGTCCAGGTGAACAAGATCAGATGGACTTTCCTGCCTTCCTTCTCTTGCCATTTCTTCTAGGCTCTGAGAGGTAGTGGCTGGGTGACCATCTGGCTCTGCTCCTTTAGCACAGCTGTCTCCAGAATCTCCCAGTACAGGCTCTGTCTGCTGCTTTAAACTCTGTAACAAGACAAAAAAAAAAAAATTACTTTGCTTTGTCACACATTTACACTGTCTCCACTGTCTATAAGATCTCTATCTATATAATCCTATTCGATGCGACTCCTGCTCCCTCTGTACCTCTACCTGGTGTCCCTCGGCACAGTTACAAACATACTACAGTGGGTATTTTACATGTTGGTTTTGTTACACAGTAATACTGAAATTATTAGAATGACAAAAACGTTGGTTGGAAAGAGCATCTGGAGGTCATCGAGTCCAACCTCTTGCCTGAAGCTGGACTATCACCAATGTGACATCATGTCAGCCATGACTTTGTCCTGCTAAGTCCCCATAACCTCTGATGACAAAGTACGCACCACCTCTCCGGCAATCTGTTCCCGTGCCACCCTACCCTCCCACAAAGGAGTTTTTTCCTAACAGCCAGCCTGAATCCCTGAAGCTGCAGTTTGTCCCTCTACCCCCTTCTTACACCATCTGCCACCACTGAGAAGAGTTGTAATCTTTGTAATTGTCCTTCAAGCAGCTGTAGTCATAGTTCTTGAGCACACTTAAATTCAAGACAGCAGAATCCAATCTACCAAATAATGCAAATATACACCAGTCTAGTCCCAAAGGGCTTGAGCAAATGGTGCTTAAGAGCAACTTCAGATCCCTACCCGATGGCACTCCCCAGTTCTCATCAGCATTGCTCAATTTTCTCTATATTGATGGAAATGCTACTTCAGATGTGGGAATTGGCTGATGATGTCCAAACACTTGTCTCCTACTCCTAGGACTGAACTAATCATCTAATCTATTCCTGGGAATTGCATGCATAATTAAATATCTGAAATTTACTTCCTAAATGGAAATACAAATTTGAAAATGATGACACACTATTAAAATTAATATGTGCAGTATCGTGGAACAGTAGCGATGTACTCAATTCTTCTCTAATCTGCATGTTCCTTCCAGAGCATCTGCTTTGTCAAGGAACCCCCAAGCTTTTACAGTTTGATACATCCAAACCTTTACTTAAAAAGAACTGTCTGTTTCAATATCTTCTTTTTTATTCTCTTTGCTGCATATCAATGTTCATATCTTAGAAAAAGTGACTTGTTAAATTAACGAGCGTCCTCAGTCCTTCAGTGTACATCCCACAGAGCTCCCTTGATTTTCTGTGGCAGGCTCGGGGTTTTGCTTTTGGAGATCAAGCTGGTTTCTCAGTAAGTGCCTGTGACTCTCCACAAATACAAAACTAATGATTTATTTCAAACCTGGGTTTTTTTGCATTTATTTGTAAAAATACTCATAGGTCCCTGCAAATTTTGTTTAAGACTTTAGTTCTCAGAGAAATAGAATTTCATACCAAAAATGTCAGCTTAAACACCCCTTTTCTCCCTGAATATTAAAACAGCCAATACGTTAATTGATGCATCGCATGGAACTTCTGAGTATTGCATATACAAATAGTGGCTAAAATCACCAGTGGTATGTTGAGGATATTGTGTTTACTCGTCTCTCCACACTCCAAGGTTTGCAAATGATGAGCACCGCCACTGAATCACTGACCACTAAACATACTTCTGGTGTTTGCCATGAATTTCCTATTTAAAATAATCCTGCTACCCAGCTCCCATATATGCCGTCACCTACGCCAGAGCTCCCTGTTTTTAAGGCACCTAAAGACAGGTTAGCATTGGAGGCAGGCAGCATGGCATCTCCACCCATCGCGTAGCACCAGGGATGGGATGGAGGGCTCTGCGTGCAGCGGTACCCGCAGGCTGCAGCTATTTTTTGCAAGGGCAAACAAACCGGATCAAACGGCATGCTGGCCGTCTGGCAGCTATAACCCCACAGCAGAGCACAGAGACTGTGCTGCTGGTTCCCAGCCAGGCTGGACAGACACAGACAACATAACCAGGACGGACAGACACAGACAACAGTGACGCTTGCTTGGGAACAAGCAAGTTTTTCAAAAGGAGGGGCCGCGGCAGCCCCAGCATCCTCACAGTGAAGTCACTCTGCCGATAGCCTGAAAAATAGAGCTGTCTCCAAAGGAAGCCAACTGGCTTTTAACTGACCCGAAATGAACCTAAATGAAATAATTACAGGGCTGCTTTCCAAATTCAAATCAGATTAGATGTGAAGTGAAACAGTGCTGGAAAGAAAAAGTCTAAACATAGCCTCTTCTGATTTCATTGTCAGGCAAAATGTACCCATCTGGCATTCGCGCAAGCAAACAAGAAGCGAGCTGGATATGCCAGCCGTGCTTCAGTGTCTTTTGATGGAAAGGGGAAGCGATATCACAGTTAGCCTGGGTTTGCCACTCATGCCACCAGTTCCTGTTGAGATCGGGAGTAATTAACGTCTCAGGCGCCCAGGGAAGGGTGAAAACAGCTCAGGGTGGCCCATAGCTCTGAACATCCCCCCAGCCCACTACCTGCAGACGACGACTCTCCCCTTCCTTAGTTAAAGGAACAAAAATATCCTGTTATTTAGATCCCACACCTCTGTAACGGCGGATGTGTGAGCTGATGAAGGAACACCCACAAGTGATGCCAGCTGCGCAAGACGTGTGGGTGTTTCTGAGAAGTGGCACAGAAGTGTGCCGCTGTTTCACCTTCCTGTCCCAACTGAGTCCCTATTTTAAAGCAGCGAGAGGAAGCCTTTCCAAAGCCCCATGGCTCCTGCGGTCCAGTCGCCATGGGGTCCAAGAGGAGCACAGCAAGGCGACCACTATGGACACACACCCCCTGTGGCCAGAGCAGGCTCGTCCTCCGAATCCTACACCAAGGTGCTAAGGAAACAGCTCTTTTCTCCATCACCTGCCCCAGAGACTTTCCCCTCAGTCTCATCTCTGGCCCTGAGCTTTCCATCTGAACAGAGATGCACCCACTGTGCGCAGCCCTCACAGACCCAGCCCCGCTCTGGAGCCTTCTTTATGCTGCCTGATGGCTGCCAGACACCCTGGAGGGACAGTCCACCTCCAGGGAGGTTTCCCTGCCCATGTGAATGGGTCCCAACCTAATGGAGAAGGCAAGAGGTGGGAGCACAGAGAGCCCACGAGGCCATGCAGATCCAGCACTGCACAGCCCCAAACCTGCTTCTCTTCTGAGAGAGAAAATCTGCTGCCTAGTACAGCTTTATCAGATCTCCCTGTGCTCAAACGAGAAGAAAATAGGCAGGTGTCCACCTGGATGTTTGCTAATGACATCCAGAGAAAACACTGAGGTAAATACATTCCCGAAGGGTGCCTACGCGGGGAAGTCCTCCCCAGATGCCAGGCTGCTTGTGAGGCAGCAATCAGCCAGCTCCACTTCTCTTTCATCATCTTAGCCTTTTCCTTACCACGTGCTGGTGGCTCTGCATGTGCATCTGAAGGTGCCGAATGTCACTCTCCAAGCTGGCCACTACCCCTTCCTTGGCTTCAGCCGTCAGCATGTAAACATCTAGCCCGCGGTGGTGCTTCACGCTGTAGTCCCCTGAGTGCACGGTGTGAGACAAGGTGCTCCAGGAGTCCGGTTCCCTGGCTTCCTCTCTGCAATAAAACAAGCGCAGGTTAATCTGCAGGCAAGGAGGGATGCTGCATTGCAGGACACGCACGCTGTTCTTCACTCTGGACAGTCATGTAATCAACGGCCCGAGCGAAACAGAGCACCGGCTCCAGGGCGACACAGACAAATACACACGCACACTTCTCGGTCTTGAAAATTAATGTGATTTAGAGTTAATGCCAGCCACAAGCTTTATTTCACAGGGTCCTTCTCAGCTAGAGATCTGCTTTTTTTTTCCCCAGACTAGGAGAGACTAGCAGCAAAAGGCACATCAATTGCTTTTCAAAATGGAATTTATTGCAGGTGAAGAACACCACAGCAGTTGTTCCAGCAAAACAGACACTTGAAAGACAGAACTGCAGAGGGACAAGTTAGAAGGAGTGAGGATTACCATGATACAGACAGTACAACTTCTACACCAAAAGCAGCGCGCTGCTTCACAAACACCCAACAGCCATCAAATTGTAGCAATTTTTTTCACTCCTGAAATGAATTTAGCTTGCTCTGTGAAACTGCTTCTGTGCAAGATGTTCTCAATATTGTGAGACAGCTGTCCTTCTGCAGCAGTATCACGGATTTTCTTTTTATGAATCAAAAGGAAGGAAAGGTAAAAAGGATGTTGTTGCAGACCAGAATGAAAAAATAACTCAGCAGTTACATGTATTCGACAGAAATTTCTATCTAGTCATCTCTTTTTGAATGTCAAACCCTGATTTTGCACAGGCTTGCCACTCAAAGCAGTAATTCTTCAGGTCTCACCAAGATCCACAGAGGCTGTGTTGTTGCTACTTTAAAGGTGAGGAAACATTTATCTTATCGAGGTGTTCATCTAAAGTTTCAGGTTTACAGATTTCATTTTGAATCAGAACTGATTCAGGAAACCCAAAATCTGTTTTAACTGTCCCGGGACAGAGCGGCTCACACAGCACCCTCCCAAGCGCCACATCCCCTGGGAGAGATGTGGAGCCGAGCCGGAAT